TCTTACACTCTGTCTCCCTCTGTTGCTGTGGCTCCATGGGCGCAATGCTGCTGCTGCTGCTGCTGCTGCTCCTGCAGCCTGATGCTCACAAAGAGAGTGCCCCAAGGATGTTGCCATTCGCCTATTGAACTAATAGTGGCTCGAGTTGTTGTTGTCGTTGTAAATCGGTGTTCATATGTGGCCGCAAATTACGTTTGCCCGCAAGTGAAGTGCGCTACGGCCTCTCTCTCCCTCTCTCTCTCTCACTGCTCACTGCTCTGTTAAATCGAACAATGATTGCCTAATTAGCGGGCAGCTGGACAAGGCCTTCGCGCTGGTCAAGAGCAAAGTGAATGGACTCATTGGGAGTCACCCGAGCCGAGCCTTTTCGCATGCAGAATGGACGCTCTCTTGCACGTCCAATTAGCTCCGGCTCCACTTACAGCTGGCTCAATCAGCGACAGTCCGTTATTGGGCAACAATTCATATCCGGATTCAGAATTGCATCCGGCTGCCGCTGCATTGCCATAATGCGCAAAAACAAAAAAAAAAAAGCATCAGATGAACAAGATAGAGGCGCACACATACATACGAAAAAGAGCAACAACAAGAGCGAAAAAAATGAAATGAAATGAAATGAAATGAAATGAGTAAGACAACAGCAGTCAATTAGCTGACTGAGTGCCGTAGGAATAATTACGGCTCTAAGCGCATTACGGCTGACCTCACGCTGGCATTGGCGCCATGATTATATCATGAGATGCCAATGAAGGCAATCAAAGCTGGAATGTAAGAGCAATATAGCTGGAGAGGGGGCAGCAGCAGCAACAGCAGGAGCAGCAGGAGCAGGAGCAGGAGGACTTCATAATAATAATAATAATGTGTAATGCGATAATGAATACGACCTGCCATCAACACCACACAACAGCACAGCACAACAAAATATTACCAAATAACAATAAAAACAACACAAACAGCAACAGTAACAACAACAACAACAACAACAACGACAACAACAACGACGGCAACAATAACAATCGACTGCAACAAAAACTTAGACGCTTCGCAACAACGTGCCGCAAATAAGTTGCCAACTTTAATTAGATTAACTTGCTGGGCTCACATAAATATCAATAGCACTTCATTCTCGTTGTTCTCGTTGTTGTTGTTGTTGTTGTTGTCGCTAACAAGCTGCCTACATCGCGGGCCACATAAATAGGCTTGACACATATTGAATAACTGAACTGAATTGTTTTTGCCTAATCAACTGACACTGAATGCCCTGTATACCCTGTAAACACACGCATATGGAAATTGAGTGAAATATTTTTAATTGAGCAGAGTATATATATATATATAGATTATAGATCTTAGTTCAGATTAAGGGGTATATAGAACTAAGGGACCCTAAAAATAAATTTCTTTTATTCGTGCATACATCAATATTTTGGAACTTCGAATTGAGGCAAAAGATCCTAAGTATAATAGAATTGAGAAGCTCATGGGAATCAGCATAAATACAAAGAGTATAATGTTAACTATATGGAGTACCCTGAAGTCCTGCGAGTCAGCATGATTACAAAAATGCGCAGAGTATTAAGTTAACTAAGCGATATACCCTATAATCATAGAGCAGTGTTTTATAAAAGAGAAAAGGTTCGCGCATAATTGGATTTAATTTAATTTCATTAGTTGGTCCATTAATTAAAACTATGCTAAATGCTCTGCAAATGAAAAGTATGAATAGAACAATGAAATTTAATGTTTAGCCTACAGAATGTAATTTAGAGTTTAACAAAAAACAAGCAAAAATAGAATGACAAATTTTTATTAGATGGAATATCCTATAATAGTAAATTTAATT